TTAAAGAGATAGATTTAGACTTGCGCATTCTATGAACTACCCTGCCTATGGCATAACATTTCTCTGCGCTTCAAAAAGAAAAACTTCATTAAAATGATAATGAATTCATAGCTTGTAATATACATCGATTATACCATAACAAATTATTTTATATTTGTAACTCAAAAAATGATGTAATTTACAATGCAAGGAAAAATTTTTGAAAGTTCAAAAGCAAAAGGATAGAACTACAAAGATACAACAATAAAAAAACTCTTCTAGCCAAAGTTATTTCATTGATGTCTTTTCCAATATTCTCGGAGTTTAAATTAGGAGAATACGTGAGCACAAAAAGAAATTTATCAGTAATGGGAAGAAAATAAGAAAGTATGTTCACTGCTCTAATGAAAGCCCGTCGAATGCTCCCGACTGCTGTGAAATTCTAGAGGTAAATTACAAGTGACGAAAAACAGTGAATGGAAAAGGAAAAAAGCACGTTAAGATAGTCTAAAATGAAGTATCTTTTATTTTGGTTACTGTGACGCTGTAAAGCTGAGAAGTTATTCAACATCAGTCTGATTCAAAACGAAATATTGACTTTAAAATGTATGTTTACGTTTCTTCTTAATCGAATCTTTCTTCTGTTATTATGAAACAAGAACAGTATTCGAAAGGCTCTTGGAATTGCACATCAAACAAACTGCCGACAAATGCATGTAATTGTTTTGTAAGGTTTATCCTAAGTTTTTAACAATTATCTTTAGTTAAAGCTAATTTCCTATCCGTCCTAATTTCAGTTTACAATTTCCCACCAGAATGTGTTTTTAGAATCGTTATTAATTCAAATGAGTAAGAGCGGTATTTAAGTCGAAGTTCTACTGACTTCGCTAGAGAGCCAGCGATTCTGACTAGCACGCGTTTGCCTTGTGGCTACACTTTCAGGCCCTTGATAGCTTCGCCAGGTTAGGTAATATTTAGGGGTCAACTGCATAGAATTTTGATAGCTTCGTCTACATCTTTTTAGTCAAGCATTAGTTAAGTTTTATTCCTTAGTACTGTTGAGTTCAAGCCCAGATGGAGGCTTTTCTGTAGGCTCTGAGAAATGAGCCGACTGTTAAATTCTTATTTTGAGAAATAAAGGGTTGTAGAGACCTTAGGTAATTTTTGGAAGCGAGAAAGATGAAAAATAGCAAACGCCTTCGCTGGGAATCGAACCACAGACCTCTGGAATTCTAGCCCAGCGCGCAGACCACCTCACCACGAAAGTTCGCTAGGAAAGCGAGAAAAGTACCTTATGGGTTGTAAGGATCTTAAGTTGTTGTACTAACGTTTATTTTATTTTAAAACTTTAGTATCCTCTCTATTTTCCACTTCCGTCGTAATTAAACGCGTTAACTTGTTTATGCAAATTGTACTTGCTAACGCCGAAGTATTTAAGTTGTGGCTTTTTGCCAAGAGTCAGAGAGGGAAAGTGAGCCGCCTTGTCACTGCATTCCGCACAAGTTTTCAGTCAGCTGTTGTCTGCCTTTAAGGCCAGAAGTTTAGTCCTCTCGTTATTTAAAACGTATTGTAATTTCGGCATTTGCGTACTACATACGTAATAATTTAAAAAGACTTTAGGCCATTGTGTTAAACTAGTTCAAAGTTAGCTCTTAGTTTTAGTTAGTTAGTAGTTTTTATATTTTTACGTTCAGACCACAAGTGGTTGGTCTTTGTATCGCGAAGTGTGGGAGCGTCTGTATTATTGTGGAAAATAAATTGTAACTAAACCCTTCTCATCTTGTTATCTCTTCAACCTCCTTAAGACATAGTTTGTAGTCAAACTCCCTGTCCACTTAGGACACGCCATGTTTTCAAAACAAATTAAAAGGAATACAAGTCCTGATAGGGTAACTAACCCTTCTTGAGTTTACGTCTCTGAACTTGAACTAGCGATTATTCGCTTACCAGTTCACGAGGTTCCTACACACTTAGCTGTAGATAAAAATTGGAACCCCAAAGTTTTTAAAAATTACTTTTCATGGCAGATGATATAGGGTATTGTTAAACAACCAAATCAAAAGCTTGTAAAATAGTTCAGTGATGAATGGACAGAAATTGCACAAAATGTTTAGAAATTTAGCTTATTTCAGGAAAAACATGAACGTATCAACGAATATCCTGGAAGTAGCCTCTTGTTCATGCTAGAAACATTGAAATGTTTGAAATGGTTTTGGTAGCTTGGAGCGTAGTAACCCCAAAAGATTTCAGAATAATTAGAAAGTGTTGAAAATGTGGAAGCCATATTCAACCACACGAACAGATTTGCCATACCTGACGTCAACAGCAAAGAAATTTTTAAAGAGTCTTTAATTTTTAAGAAATTGCATAACGATAGCCAGGGCCTGGTTAATCAGTAAACAGAGTTCTTTGAGGATACCAATACTTGCTTTCCTTGTTTTTATGAACAAACAAAAGCAGAATCTTGGAAAAGTTACAGTTTTGAGGCTGTATAAAGCTGGGGTTTGAAGCCCAGATTTAGTAGGACTACGCAGTAATCAAACCCAGACCATGGTCTTCGTATCTCTGCAGCCTGGCTTCTCTTCCGTAAGGCCATCTTAAGCAGAGTCTTCGGGTATGAAAAGACACTTTTCCCTGCCTCTAGTGTGAACTTGAGAACTTGATTTTCGATTAGTTTTAATGCAGCTTGGATGTTGCATCAAAGATGAGATGTTAGATTAGATTATAGAATTTGGTGATAATCAGATAAATTCGTTTAAACTAGATTGAGTATTTTTGAATATAGAATTATCACTCAATCACTACTTGTAGAATTTTAGATGCTGCCAGTCTTAAATAGAATGATCGTAGAACTTCGGAGATACTTAGCCCCATTTTGTCTATTCATCATCAAACAAACAGTATTCTTTGTTTCAAGCCATAATATCCATAGGCTATTTATCAACGAAATAAGAGAAATCTATACTACACATTATGCCCAAAACCCTATCGCATCACGCCCATACATGTTTACTAGAGACATGATCGCTTCCAACACAGAGTAGAATGTATACTTAGTCGATATGATACTAAGCAAATTCCAGGAAATTCTCGTTTTTGTGCATTTGTTTATTTTGTATCTGTGTTAAAATGAAAATCTCAACAGTCTGTGTCAAAAGTATAAATTTTAGCAATTGTATAATTCCTAAGATTCTGTAGCACCATAATTAGGGCCTGATTAGCTCAGTCTAAAGCACAATATTCTTCAAATTCCTTCAATACCCACATTTTTACTTTCATCGGGAATGTATGGGAATATAGGATCATGTAGAAATCTTAAAATCCTAGTGCTATAGATATGCATCTACTTCAATCACTACATGCAAAAGGATTCTAAAACCCCTTTTGCCAGTAACTGTATACGAAGCTAAAGAAAACAAATATTCAATTAATTTAAATTTAATACTTTTCAAAAACACTTGTCGATAAATATTTGCAAATCTCATTGAAATATCAGTGTTTATATGCTCGTATGTAATTTAACGCAGTAATCTGACTCCTCTTAGCTGTGACAAATACAATTTAATTTACTTTAATCATAGCAAAATATGAAACTAGCAATACTGCAAAACTAATTAATAGCGTATTGTAAAACCTAATGGCGTTAACAATAACTGTTCGAAACAAATACGAACTTAAGTGCCGCCCGCAAAATCTGCCGATATTTTTTTTAATTCATTTTCACAAATGAAAGCAATAAACGAAATGTATCCTAAAAGATAATCCGTTTCGTATCTCTTTTCTTTGGGAGATAAAATACAAATTTTACTTTAATTTAGTAAAATCCACGAGGTTTCACTTATTGTGCATGTCCAAGAAGTTGTTTTGAATTTGTTGTTTTTATTTTCTCAAATTCTAGTAACAGAGCTGTATAAAAAGGATTATTGATATATACGAAAGTATATTATATGCATCTACTCAAAGATTCTTTCTCGGAGAATTTTCAAGTAAAAATCAACTTGCATTTATATATCACGCGTTGGAAAACAAATGATAAAAGTCCAGTGCGGACTCTTCCTGACTAAGAGAAAGAAAGAAGTTTTTGCATTTTTCTCAACGTAAGTTAAAATTATTCATGTAGAAATGTTGTCATGTTTGTTCTTAATACAATGAAAGCATATCAAGTAGGATGAAGCCATAAGGAAATGATCGTAAACCCAAAACACTCTGAAGAGAATAATATTTCAATGGATAGACGAGAAGCAGCATTGCAGTTTAAACTTTAAAATCGAACAAAATTCTAACTTAGATTGATTTAAAGAAACCGAGAAGAGGACGCATTACATGAGATTTTCATTATGCTTACTGAAAACGAGAGATTATTATCTACCACTGACATTATTTAAAATATCCTATAAAATTTTATGGTGTTTAGTATTCTTGTTATAAGGTTTTTTCTAAAACTAATTACAAATTACGAAGTAAAAGGTGATGGACAATAAATAATTCGTCACTACCAGGATTTGTCGATTGGGTCCGCTCATCCCCAGTCGCCTTTTAAAAGGGGGGAATATATAAGGTATTTTGTCCCACTTTCCAGTATGTCTTTGTAGTGTAATAGTAGCACACTCGACGCGTATTCGAGTGGTCCCGATTCGAGTGTTGGCGAGGACATTGCTCATTTTTCTTATCTCTAGCTTTCAAATAACAATGATATAATTTATTGGCGCCCGAACTAAATAGTGGAGGAAGATAATTTGTCACCTAAGGATTTGGCGACTAAATCCTCTAATCCCCAGTCGCCCTTTAAAAGATCTTTTCCTGTCTTCTAGAAGGCCTTCATTGTGTAACATTACCTCACTAGGCGCGTTTTCGAAAGGTCCAGGTTCGAACCCCGGCAAGTCCCGGCATTGCTCATTTTTCACGTCTCCTGCTTAAGATGACTCTATACTATCTTTTTAATTAAGCACAAACCCCCTAACGGCAACGTAATCTCAAAGACTGTATCTCATAATAACTGTCCTCCAAAAGGACTAGCTATAATGCGAGCTAACAATTTATATTGTACTTGTGCCTGCATCCACTGGTACTATACCATTGTGTCACTGGTAAAGTGTTCACATACTCCACAAGAGAAGAAGTCTATCGTCACAGGGGTGCCTACAACTCTCAAACACCACCTTAAACAGGTAACAGAATCTACACCAGGTAGAACGTACCAATTTCACATGTGTACCGAACAGCTGACCAGTGCATCAAATGCAATAATTCATCAAAGTACATGTTAAAGTACCGCACCCATGGACCGCTAAAATCTGAACATTGAACATGGACCAAATGGAACACTGCCTATCTAATTACCGCAGTACAACATTCAATACATAACTCAAATGTAACACCCTAGGTATTATACAGCATATGCTATGCCAAAACCAACAAGCTCTATAATGAACATAACCTCTTGCATTCTAAATAATCTGTAATAGCATGATAATGCTATGTCGTATGAACATAACCTCTTGCATTGTAAATAATCTGTAATAGTATGATAATGCTATGTCGTATGAACATAACTTTTGCATTGTAAATAATCTGTAATATTATGATAATGCTATGTCGTATGAACATAACTTTTTGCATTGTAAATAATCTGTAATAGTATGATAATGCTATGTCCTATGTGTTGAAGTATGTTGTAACAGTATGTTGCGCTATGTCCTATACGTTGTTAGTGCTATGTCCTATGTTTACTGTAATCAGGTCCCCTGTGGAAATGCTGTGCCAAAACCAACAAGGTCTATAATGAACATAACTTCTTGCACTGTAAATAATCTGTAACCATATGTTAATGCTATGTCCTTTGTGTCGAAGTATTTTGTAACAGTATGATGTTCTATGTCTTATTTGTTGCTAGTACTATGTCATAATCAGGTCCCCTGTGGAAGGAGCGGTACGCCAGAGCGGTAGCGCATGGGGGCTATACCATTTTTGTCAATGGCAATGGCGAGGTGCCCCCTGTACTTGTTCCTGTCCTGTCTTTTTAATTAGGTTTAGTGAATGAATTCATATTCTTCGCAGGATTGTAGAAATTAATTTAATTAGAATACTGCTCTTTTTTAGTTCTGAATAATTTAAGTTATTTTACTTCATAGTTTCTTAAAGGATGTAACAAAACGAAAGAAGCTTGTTTATTTACTGAGCCAAACGTAGTACCCCCCTCTATTTCTTTCGCTCCATTAATAATGCAGCGTGTATATTACAGAATATGTTAACAAATATTTTGCACAGCATTAACGCTCTAAAACAATGGCAGGTTTAAATGTATAGGGAAAAAGTATTTTGGATTTCAAAAAAAATTTAGAATTCGAAATATGAATATTTTTCAAGCTTCATTTGAGTATTCTAGCAATATGAAAAACTGAATTCTAGATTACTCATTCAGAAAATTTCCTACAGCATTTCCTTTGTGAAAGAATTCATTTTAAAAATGTTTCTCCGAGATGAGATATGCAAAACTTCTACTTCAAGACAACTACTACACCATCTCCCTTGATGGCTGAATATCCAAATATTCATGGGAAAGCTGATACTATGTGTTGTAACAGAAAAAAAAACAAGCCTTTATAAAAAAATGAAATGTTTTCTGCTTCATCTTTACCTTAGTTTTTATTTTAAGATAGCTTATCGGTTAACCTGTTTGATTATCCAAGTGGAAACATTGCCTGGGGTAGTAAAGCTCTTAGGAAATTTAATACCTTTTCTTTGGCGTAATCTTTGCATTTAAGTGAATTTGCATTGCACTTAAAGAATAAAAAATTAGATGCTAGGTTTGAAATTTCATGCAAAGATGACTAGGCTTCAAAGGCAAAATTCTATGATAGCATCAACACTTAAACATTTCTTTGTTTCCACTTAATATGTACTTCAAATTTTGATATATATCTGTATTTAAACTAATAACTGCAACAAACAGCACATATCGCTCATTCTATTTGTAGCAAAGATTTAAATTCACATCCAATCAAATTCTTTAAATCCCTTTAAAAAGCAAAACATTTTTTATTAAGGATTTGAAAACGAGCAAAGGAAGCACTTCGAAATAAAACATATCTATCACCGGCACGGAAGACTGTTACCATTCAGCAAAACGAAAGATATTTATCTCTTCATTTTAATCAACAAATTCAACTATTTAAAAGCAATGTGTTGGTACTACTTTAAATAAAATACTCAGCGTCTTGTCTGTCAGTGAAGCATCAAATATTTAAAGCTCAAATTTAATCTGTCTGTTATTTATTCACAAACCACACGATTTAAAAGCATTAAATGCAGTTCTTACGAATATTTTTCTACTTTTTAATCTGACTGATTTATATAAAAATGCATTTAAATCAGGAGGTGTCTAATTATAAATATTTAATACCTTTATGGAATTACACTAACTTGATTCATTGAAATCATTATATATTTTTTGCTCATTTTGATATTTATTTTATACGGCTGGCCGCTAGGATGTTTTTATTTCCTTGTACGAAGTAAAAAGGAAATTGCAATCGCGAAAAGTTTCAGACAGCATATTTCAACGAAAATATCCATTTTGACCGCTATCGAATGCAATTTAACGGTGTTTTTGCATGATATCTGTACGTAAGGACAGAATAAAAGACTCTTTTCCTCCAAAAAAATTATAAAACTCTTTAAAATGAATTCTGAAAAGAATTTTTCGTGGCGTCTTTACGAACGTATGTACGTATGTACGTATCTCGCATAACTCAAAAACGAGTAGCCCCAGAACGTTAAAATTTTGTATATAGGACTGCTGTAACATGTAGATGTGCACCTCGTATTTTGGTTGCAATCGGTCGCACCAAACGTATATAAATATATTTATATATATATCCACTCTGTTGCTCGGCTTAGTGATCTCAGTCTCTTTACTCGTATATGTTTGTAAATTTTTTGCTTTAAAAATGATTGAATTATGATGTTTTTATCTTCCGGTTAAGGTTTGTATGCCTTTAGTAAATCTATATGCAATAGTTTTAGAATTATCAACAATTTTAAAGTTGTTTAAGTGCCGCTAAGCCTTTTTTTTTTTTTATGGCGGCCATTGATTATTTACATTTGAAAGAGCAGACTAGTGGATTTGTTGCCAATCTATAGAAGCTTAGCTTCGCAACAACAAAGATAACGCCTTCATTTATTATTGCCAATTAAATCATGCTTAATCCTTTCTGGAATTTTTTCGAAGAAATAAGTGTTTAAGATTTACTTCGTAATTTTTAATATAGATATTTTGAGGTTTTATGTATTTTTGCCTTCTCGGGAAGTGAGAACTGAATTAATTGAATGAGAAATACTCAATCGTCTGTGAAAAACTGCTTCTTTTTCGTTTGTTTGCTTAATTTCTTTTATACATAATTCTAGCTTTATTATAGTATTTGAATAGAACATGTGGCAACGATTAGTTAATTCTATTCTTTAAATGACATGATTTTGTGCAGTATGAGTTATAATATGAGCGAAATATAATGCTGTTAAGTGAATCTAGCGCCAGAGTGTCGCTATGGTAAACAAATACTAGAGTGAATTTTAAAGAAATGCATTTATTCTATTGTGGTTTATGCGCTATCGGCGAAGTAGATTTAATTCAATCAGATAAGTTTAAATGAAATGCAAGAAAAACTGCGTATAATTTAATATTCCGTACAAGGAAGTTATGTGGTGTACACATCAGATTTTTTAATTGTTATCAAAGATGTCTTATGCTCCAGGGAAGCAAGAGGAAGCTCATTATTACAAAATAATCTTTCTCGATTTAAATTTTTATCAAATCATAAATTCGCTTTGATCTCCATATTATGTTGCTAAATGTGTAGTTGTCCTTAATTGGAAACGCGTTGTGTTTAGTTGGTAGCAGCAGCATCTTGGCTACCATCGCTAGTGTCTTGTTGCTACTTACTTTCCGTGTCTTTCGAGCTGTGGCTTTGAAATGTCTCCATAACTGCTTAGAACATTTTCTGTTGCGTTTGTGCATTCGCACGATAGTTTAAATTTGCTGATACGTTGGGAATTAGCCAATTCTTCTGTTAAATTGTAAAAGATAAAGTACACTTAAACTATTCGTGAAACCTCATAGCAATTTACTTTACAACATGAGTGGAATGCAACCCCCAGAATATGATACCCTTCTTTTCTTGTCACTAGCCATTCAAAACAACTTTTTGATCAACGTTTCTCCTTTAAAGATATTAAACTTAATGTTTAAGCTTTGTTCAGTATTCGAATGCTACCCTTTGGTATAATAGCTAACCTTCGTTAATCCCTATATCAGTAAAGACATTAGAATTCTTTCAGGGATTTACACCTTTAAGGAAGTTTTTCTGAAATTATAATCAAGAGCTAAACACTAAAGTGCAGTTTTCGGCATTATTATATTTATTAAGAGTCTCCAGCAAATTCATAATTATTATTAATATTATTAAAAATTATCAGTAGAATAACTTATCATTGATTTAAAGGTTATGGACTTCAAAAAATAAGATTAAGTATTTATTTGGAACATTGACTTCCTTTACTTCATAAAAGTAAAATAATTATTTAATAAAAGAGAATTGTTTATGTTCGTGATGAAACGCAAAAGTGTGCAGAAATCTCTATGCGTTAATGCCTTAATGCCAGAATACCCTTAATGCTGAAAACATTAATAACACTGATAATATCGTTAATTATGAAAACGATAATAATTCTCAGACTCAGAAGCCTCTGAGCAAAACGCATATTCCCTATTATAATAAACTGAATGTTGATTTATGTGCACCAAACATTCAATTTATTAATTCAATATATTGAATGGTGATTAATGTGCATCAGACAAAGAAGAACTGCCAATGGGTAGATTCCCTTGAGCAGTTATCCAATTTAACTGACGCAAAATTTCTTGGCCACTTACTGGGCGAATTCATCTAAATTTTTCCAAACATTGCAGAAGACCATTGTAATAAATTTTTTCTATTCAAAGCAAACTGAGCATTACATCATCCATCCTAAATTCAAACAACCATTTATAGTGCTCTTAAGAAAACTCCCTATCCACGACAGTTGTGGCAAAATTAAACTAGCTATTCGAAATAGAGAATATTTCGTATACGAGGTGAATCAAGGAGAAAAGAGCAGCAACTCCAGATCCTACCAACGCACAACGTAGAGAAAATCTACGACTTGAAAGATCTACTTTTCTCCATCGAAGCTGAGAAATTTGTCTCAAAAATCAAGTACCTCAGTGCCACAACTGCCAGTTTTGACACCACTCGTCTGAAAACTGCTTCTTGAGCCATGGATGTGAGAAGTGTTCGCTAGGACACAGAACCTAAGATTGCCCTCAAGAAGGCAAAACTGATGTACCCACCTGTTGTAACTGCAGAGAAAAAGAACATCCTGCTTCATACCATGGGTGTTCGAAATTTCTCAGGAGCAGAACCAACAACAGAAGCATGATACAACCTGGACTTCGCTCCTCCCAGGCCTTGTCAGGAAAATCCTCTAATCTCTCTAAACCCAATGATTCCAATAATGCATAGGATTCTCCGTCAGCCGTTGCTGAAACCAGTAACTTACTAGCTGCTGTAAATTTATTACATTCAAAGAACCTAAAAGCTTCTAAAGCATTAATAACCCGAATAGTGTACCTCTTGTCTACGTTAAGTGAGTTCCAATCCTTTTTTCTTCCAATGGTACATTGCGAACAATTACAAATGTAACCCAGTCCATTAATCTATACAAGGCCGGATGTGGTGGTCTCTTTATTATGTAGGCACCTAATAGGTGGGCCCCCATCGCCTTTCCTATGAAGGGACGGACAGTTACCACCATGCCTTCTCCGGGATTCGAAACCAGACCCTTCTGCATCGCAGTCAGCTTCCCTGACCACTATACCGACTGGGCGGCGAGTTCCAATCATTATTTGCCAAACACGAATTGAATACCATTATTTCTGTTTTTAATAAGTATATTCTGCACTGAAAATTTGTTCTACCACCATCTACAAATCCCATATTCTGCTGCAAATGATGGCAGAAATAAATGACAATACCACTGCTGAATTATGTCCTTAATTTAATAAAGAAATATTTAACCAAGTTTGTTCTTTGTGTTAACTTCTAATAATTCTTTCCCCTTTTCGGCCTTCTCTGTATCAAAATTATTTCTTAATTTTTCTCCCTCTTTCCCAAACAAAGATTGCTTTACTCTGGTGCCTTACCCCTTATACCAACCGCCAATCACTAAACTTTGCAGGCCAGCTTTGATTTCCTGCCTTTGTCGTCACTTGTCTACACCTATACCTGCTGCAGCTCTATCCTTCTTCATTTGAGCTTCGACCTTTCCATATGCTGTACGCCTGTGTTCAATACCTATCTCCAGCTATTGCTTATCGTTTCTACAAAATGAAATTTATGCTCATACTCAATGCTGTGTTAAAATTATAGACTTTTCTACTGTGTTATACTGGGGCAGAGCTTCGGCACAGGAACCGGAGCCTCGTGGCCTTTTCAGTTTCTGATATTGTTTCTGAATGTAAAAGAGAGTAATAATTTTTGCAAAAAAAAAAAAAAATTCGTTTCTTATGCTATTTTTTTCTTTTCGAAATTTTCCATAATGAATCTAAAACTTTCATAATAATATAAAAATGAAATTAATTTCGAAATTTCATTTATTTTAGGGCATTTCCTTGGTAACAACACAGTTTTGGATTTCGTACAAGCTCATGGATATGAAATTGAGCATCTGTCAGTTAGCGCTAAAATTCCAAAAAGGTAAGAGCCATGAATTTGTTTTCTTCCTCAAATATTTTTAGGTTTCGGATTGTTCACCGGTGTTTACTTTATCGTAAATCTCCTTCTATTTTCCATACACATGAATTCCAGGTGCATAGCAGAGGTGATGCCCTGGCCGCTCGGGCGTCTTCTGCCTTTTCCCACGTCACCAATTTAAATCCCGAAACAGAGCATTTTTAATGGGTAAATACAAAAATATTTTAGCTAAATAGTTTTTAATTTTAATATATATTGACTTCTCTTTTGTTATAAATTCCATTAGCAAGGAATTAATATAAAGTTTAAGAGATTTTTCCGTTAGTGGTCAAAAGCGAAATGTCCTGAAACAAGCAGGTAAAAAACATCCTTCATTTCTGGGAAATCTTCATGGGTAAAAGAAGAGAGCCTACTCAGTAGCCTGGTACTTAAGTTCAAAAACAAAATATCCATGTTTTAACTCATAGAACCTCCCGAGTGCAGTACTTTTCTAAAAGGTGGAAATTTAGTCTGATGATTTGCCATTTGATAAAGCTCGCTTGTCAAGTGGAGCATAAATTTCAGTTAATTATATTTCGTTGCATTGAATCGTGTTCTGATTTTAAATATACTAGTAAATATGCCAAAAACATAAATAGTTGCCTATCATTTAAGTAAACATCAAAAGCTTTATTTTTATTACAGTAATTTTTATTTTCGTCTAGGAAATTATATATGTTTTTTCAATTTTTATTTTAATATTTCAATAAGTTGTATTCTCTCATGTTTTTCGCGAACATAACTAACGAGAGACTATAAGAATATGTGAGGAATTTTCCTCAGGTCCTTAGGTGCGACAGTCCAAAGAAGGGTGTAAAGAACCTTTTATGAACTCGGTGGCTTTGTAAATGCGGTCAAGAGCAAGAGACTGACGTTAATTACGGAAGGAGAAAGTAAAAGGCTGTGTCAGGGATCATAAGGGGAGATATATTTTAAAAGAAAAGTGTTTTTAGGTCTCATTCAGTATCAGTATATCAGGAATATATATCGCGCGCTGGAGATAAAAATGTTTTTTTTTTTCGTACAGTGTTGCCATTGCTCGCTTTGAAATCACTGCGTTTGTTAATCAAAAATTCGTTGAAGTGTTATAAAATATGAAATTGATAATAAAACAAATTTTAAATTCAAATTAGGGCTTTTACACGCCGAAATTCTATGGAAGATTACGTTATTCAAATTTTGATGGCTCTAGGTACCGTCATTTTATCATAAGCGAGAAACATACATACATTCATGCAGACTCTTCATTATTTAATTTCTTTAAATATAATACAGGGCGATAATATTTGGTGGCAACAATTTGAAAAGGGATTGACCGTTTATAGTTTTCAACGCAAAATGCCAAAATAAAATTAATCCTTCTGGACAAATTGCCCCTTTGGACTAATAATGTGTTCTAAGAGCGATGGGCTGATGCCTAGCAGTAAGGGTTTGGAATCAAGAATATATTTCGCAGAACCATTATATTATTTGCAAGTATTTCATTAACTGATATCGTTAAATATTTAAATTTCATGTAAACTAGAAAAGGGATATAAAAATTAGGAAATATTTTATTTTTAAATAAACATTCAATTTATGTGTAGATAGCTGCAAATATATCACTCAGTTGTTGTAGCAGAGCTGTAATTTTATTGGGGGGGGGAGTAGGAAATTCCACTGGTTAAGTAATGGAAAATCGAGAAATTTTTGCGATTGAGGAGCAAAACGCTTTATTCTGGTAGGAAGGGGGGTTTATACCAGAAACGAAGCACAACACACAATAACACAGATAACTAGCATGTAACTAAATAAAATATTATAATTTTTTTAATTCCAAATTTACATTTATTAATCAATTCAAGAAATGCATACAAAAGCATTGAAGTCAAGATTACTGTTTAACTTGACGGTATTTTTAGACATTATCCTGTACATAAAACGGATTTTCTTCGTTAAGAAGTTCGTTTTTAAAAAGGTACCATTTTTCATCGAAATCGTCGGCACTGATACGAAATGAAGGGCGATTTATACTATACCTCAAGTTCCTGGCCTGTAAGACGCGCAGTGATTTATCAGGTTAAAACTGGGAAAAATACTTACACAGAAAAGGATTAAGTACCTATTTTAATGATAACACTTTATACAACGAAAACAGAACTGTTGCATTAAAAAATTAGCAAATACATCAACGTTTCTTAGAATCCCAGAAATTCGTCATCACTGTTGCTAAAATCATAGTTATTTTCACTTAGGTTGTCACTGTAACTAGATTTGCCACTGTCCTAAAACACAATGTCATCCTTATTTCCAACTAGTGCACTGCTAATTCCCCACTTTTTAAAAGATTTATTGTAGGATAAAATTGGATAATAGGATAAATGTATTTTTCAGCATTAACTTCATTCTGAAGAATTTTCTGCAGTCTAGTTTGCGTTATTTTAATAATAAATCTCAAATTAAAAACAATTTAATGTTTATATGTCATTAGAAAATTAACCAAAAAGCAGCGACCACAATGTAATTGAAAAACAGTCCTTAGACTAGACGTGAAAAGGTTGAAGGCCATTTGGGTTAAGACTATTTTCCCAGATACTCAGCTATTTCGCATACATGGAACATAGCATTCGAAATGAAAAATTCAATATTTATTACAAATTCATTGATGTAGCAAATATCTGTCTTTCTACTCCTACTTTTAAAAAAAAAGATGTTATTTGCCTTACAGTTTATAGTTCAATAATACATTTTCATTGTACAAAATTGCATTCATTCGAAGAATTCAATTTGTATTTTCCTCTGTATAAAACTGAATGTAGAGAAGTTAGATGTTTAAACGACCCCCACATTTTCTCAAGACCACGAGCAAGATTATCCCCTCCTTTTCAGCACCCTCCGTGAAAAAAGGGGTTCTAAATTTACGACCTGACCGCATATAGGGTGATTTCATTAACTCAATATAATCATAGATGGCACCGAGTCGTGCTTACGAAAGCCAACACTTTTGGCTTGACTCGGAAAAGTAACGATGAACTTAAAATTAAGTGTACTAAGTTTACCCTAACGGCTCGCAGGATAATTTAAAACGCAGGATAGCTCTAACTCATAAACGTTGGCGTAAACATACCTAATGGCTAGAAGACTTTGACAACATTTTCTAACCATAGATTCGGCCGTTCATTAAGTTCAATCAAGGAAAACCAACCGCTACAACGAGCGCTGATTACCGAAATTTGTTTTTATGCGCACGAAGGTATAGACCTCAACTCCGACCCACTTCAGCCCTTGGACGAAAGAGGTCTGTACGCGAGGCGATCAGCATATACGTGCCTCTCCAAATCACGTCATAGAAGGAAGCATTTAAGGTGGGCACGTCAATATGCCCATTGGACAGCTGATCAATGAAGGGGTGTTCTCTTTACGTATGTGTTCAGGTTTACTCTCCCAAGTGGCAGTAGACGTTATTTGATTTGGAGAGAACCTGGAAGCCATTATCATCCATCAAACATCCGTGAAAACGATGCATACGAAAGAGGAGTGTCTGTGTTTGGGGTGGTGTCCTTTTGGCTCGACGCACAGACCTCCATGTCTTTGAACGTGAAAGCATGCATGCTCAGGCCTATAGAGATGACATCCTTAATGCTTATTTGCGAGCTTTTGCCGGGATAATAGGTAAACATTTCCTGCTACAGACCGACAACGCTAGACTGCACTGGACTGTCATCGTGGTGGATGATTATCTTCAACAGCAAACAATTCAGCGCATGGAGTAAGCAGCTCGGTCACCACACTGAATCCTGTAGAGCGTGTTTGGGATGCTTTACGAAGACATACAAAAGCTACTCTTAATCCTCCTCTTCAACCCTTGCCACACTTGTAACTACTTTTCAAGAGCAATGGCTCTCAGTCTATCAGTTCCTACGAAACTGATAGACTGCATAATTGACAACATTGCTCATCGCTGTATGTGTAGCATTACTTCTAGGTAAGATCATACTCCATATTGCAGAAAACTTTCCTGTACCAAATTAGCATATTTGATTTGTTTAATTTTTACATATCCTAATTTAATAATAATTCCCTGGTAATTTATTTTCATGTTATTTTATACCTTAGTATGTGTTGCATACTGCAGGTCACTTTCACTAACCACATGTAACTTTTTGAGTAATGGTCATTTTTGTGATTTTTCCTCAATTAATGATAACTGGTGTATAAAGAATGATTGAAAATTCTGGAAACATCCATCTATTTCGTAAATCATTGCAGTCGTCAAAGCTAAATATTGATTATGGGTGATGGTTGTAAAGCTCTATTTGTTCGAATAATATGAGTATTACGGCATCTGACCTGAAATGGTCACTAAAGCCTTGCCCGACATTTTTAAAATATAAAAGGTACATTCACTAAAATTAATTTAACACAAAATTTTCTCAAAAGCAATGGGACAACTAATAATTTATCAAACGCATATATTTCCATTTAATAGCCTGCAATTTCTAAATTTTATGTTATCAAGGATACCACTGATATCGTCCTTTTGAGTGATGAATGAAGCTCACGCATAATTACTGATCAGTTTAGTAACCTTCACTTCAACGCAGCTAATATTACTTTCAATGCTGTTAATAAGTTATTAAAAAGTCCATTAAAAATAAATGCCAGCGTGGTAGATACCACAGTATATATTCGAACAACAACCATTAAAATTGTGGTTATTTTCACTGGATTCTTCAGTGCAATATGGATCAGGTATCCTGGAAAGCTGGTATCAATCAAAGTTCGATTTTATGAATGTAGGATAAAAATAAATGCCATTTATATAATCAAAATACTTGCTCAAAGATATTATTAAGAGCATTATATATATTTAAAATTAAGCGAAAAAGTAACCTCAGTTTATAAGGTATTTCTACTACCTTCCTAGCTTGCCTTCGTGGTGTGGTGGTCTGCGCACTGGCCCGGTATTCCAGAAGTCCGCGGTT